GGGGGGGGGGCGTCAAGGGCAGGGTAACCAATGAAGAACCATCATGCAGCACCACCATTATCACCCTCTCTCACTTATCCCATTTAATTCATTAGTAATGCTCGGGCGAGCGTGTGAGGAAGGTGGGGGGGGGGACATGGAGAGGGGCACATCGTGAGAGGAAGGGAAGGAGATTACGGGATATTCATGCCCGTGCCACTTTCTTGTATGGTTAAAACTTCATTAATCAATCGCTGGAGAAGAGAAGACGGGCGGTGATAGTGAAGGGTGGACCAGGGGAGGAGGGTGTGGTGGCTAGCGTCACGGCGCCTGACAGCTCAGTGGACAGCGCTCGGGATTCGTAATCCTGAGGTTCCGGGTTCGATCCCGGGCGCCGGAGAGAAACAATGGGCAGAGTTTCTTTCACTCTGATGCCCCTCTTCTCCTAGCAGTAAATAGATACCCGGGAGTTAGACACCTGCTACGGGCTGCTTCCTGGGGGGGGGGGTGTAACAAAAAGGAGGCCTGGTCGAGGACAGGGCCGCGGAGACGCTAAGCCCCGAAATCATCTCAAGATAACCTCAAGGGTTTACTGACCAAATTGAGTATCATTCAAGTGTCTCACCCCAAGGTACCCACAGCCCCGCTCCTGTGCCAGGTAAGTCCACTACGGGCTCGCCATAGACCGTGCTACTTGCAACTTTTTGTTCCCAGTAGCTGAGTCTACAACAACAACCAGGCTACCTGTCCCCGCACTACCTCAATCACACCAGACATCAATATCCCCACACGACACACTACAGGTGTGTGGTGGCTGGCAACACGACACACTACAGGTGTGTGGTGGCTGGCAACACGACACACTACAGGTGTGGGGTAGCTGGCAACACGTCACACTACAGGTGTGGGGTGGCTGGCAACACGTCACACTACAGGTGTGGGGTGGCTGGCAACACGTCACACTACAGGTGTGGGGTGGCTGGCAACACGTCACACTACAGGTGTGGGGTGGCTGGCAACACGTCACACTACAGGTGTGGGTGGCTGGCAACACGACACACTACAGGTGTGGGGTAGCTGGCAACACGTCACACTACAGGTGTGGGGTGGCTGGCAACACGACACACTACAGGTGTGGGGTGGCTGGCAACACGTCACACTACAGGTGTGGGGTGGCTGGCAACACGTCACACTACAGGTGTGGGGTGGCTGGCAACACGTCACACTACAGGTGTGGGGTAGCTGGCAACACGACACACTACAGGTGTGGGGTGACTGGCAACACGACACACTACAGGTGTGGGGTGGCTGGCAACACGACACACTACAGGTGTGGGGTGGCTGGCAACACGTCACACTACAGGTGTGGGGTGGCTGGCAACACGTCACACTACAGGTGTGGGGTGGCTGGCAACACGACACACTACAGGTGTGGGGTGGCTGGCAACACGACACACTACAGGTGTGGGGTGGCTGGCAACACGTCACACTACAGGTGTGGGGTGGCTGGCAACACAACACACTATAGGTACACCACCACACCAGGAGACACTGTTGAGAGGCGGGACCAAAGAGCCAAAGCTCAACCCCCGCAAGCACAACTAGGTGCGTACACTGTACACCACCACCACACCTTCCCAGGAAAAGTGTGACCACCAAGAGTGGCGCTAGAATAACACAGTGGTAGGGGGAGCTGAACCTCTCGCCTCACCACACGCTACCAGACGAGCTGTGATGTCACCACAGGATATATACACCACTACGTCAAGAGGTAGGTGACATGAGCCTCCCTCCGTCACCCTCCGTCACCACCGGTCACTCTCCGTCACCACCGGTCACTCTCCGTCACCACCAGGCCTACTCTCCACACTCTTCACGGATACTGGGCTAGAGTATCTCTCAGATTGCATATAGTCTGCAGAGGTAGACTTGACCGAATGTAAACTGTCGGGAAAACTCTTCACTCACCCTGCATTACTCCCATAGAATGTGAAACAATTTGAAAAGTTTTAAATTCAAGAACTGTCTGAATATTTAATTCAAACTGATACGCTACCCAGAATCTTAGCCAAGTACGGAATCTTTGCATACTGGAGGTACTTTGTGCACGTGACAGTGAGAAAAGAAGCAGAAATATAATTGTACAGTGAAATAATAGATAAAGCCAAGACCCAGCCAAAGCTGCTCCACATGAGGACAACAGTAGTTAAGGAAAAAGTACTGAAACAGAAGACCAGGGAGTACACATTTACAGAGAACGACAGGGAAGTGTGCGAGGAACTCCACAGGAGACAACCTGCTCTCGCACAAGACAGCACATATATATGACTTATTAGTCAATATTTTGCTTATGAATAAGCACATATGTGGTATATTCCAAGTTATATATATTTCAAGGCACTAACTCTTCCTCCCGATTTTCTATACACAAGTTTTAGATATTAGGAATTTATTTTACAGTTTTATTAAACAATAGAGATTTTATACAAAATTTGACAATATCCTGAGTTACTTTAGAATTTATTTAAATTTTTTTGTTTTGTTTTATTATTTGTATAAAACTGTAATATCAATATAGGTATAGGTTAAGTACTAATTGTAATTAAGAAGCAATAAAATGCTTATCTTAACATACTAAGATTAGGTTTGGGTCGTGGCTTTCTATTCAGCTTTTCAGGTAAACTCAAATATTCACAATTAGTATATCGCATATGTACTTATTCACAAGGAAAATATTGACAATAAGCAAATGCGAGAACGGGATGCAACCGAATACCGGTCTTTACAATAGGTGTGTACAATTGGGTGAGCAGCCTACCATGTTTGCGTCAAGAGTGGTTGCTGCCCCGAGGGCTGCTGCCCCCAGGGCTGCTGCCGCCAGGGCTGCCCCCAGGGCTGCTGCCCCCAGGGCTGCTGCCCCCAGGGCTGCTGCCGCCAGGGCTGCCCCGAGGGCTGCCCCCAGGGCTGCTGCCGCCAGAGCTGCCCCGAGGGCTGCCGCCAGGGCTGCTGCCGCCAGGGCTGCCGCCAGGGCTGCCCCGAGGGCTGCTGCCGCCAGGGCTGCCGCCAGGGCTGCCCCGAGGGCTGCCGCGAGGGCTGAAGGCTGTTGGTCAAGAGTCGTGCAACCTCAAATGATTATTTCCACACACGTGCGCGCGCACAAACAATCCTCCAAAACTTTAACTTTCAAGGAAATTTTGTTTAATAAGAGCTCTCTCTGACGCCCCCGCCGTGCCCTCCACCACCCATAAACTACGCTCTTCTTCAAGGTGGTCACATGATAAACAAATAAAACAGGAATAGAACTTGTGCAAGAGAACAACAGAAGACGCCACACTCTTATACTTGGTTGTTCGTGCCTAACGTAAACTGAGTGTATATACACCGAGGACGAGGGAACACCTTCGTCCATTACACCTACAACCAGGTACCTGGTTGATACCTGGTTGATGGGGTTCTGGGAGTTCTTCTACTCCCCAAGCCCGGCCCGAGGCCAGGCTCGACTTGTGAGAGTTTGGTCCACCTTCCTCCCCTACACTACAGGCAGCACACACCACCTGCAGGTGCAGTGTGTGTTGAGGCGGGTCATCATGTGTCACACGTCACCACCCGCTGGTGTTATGTTGCCTAGTAACGTCACGGAGACGAGCCTCAACCGCTACTCCAGGCTCATCCCTACAACTCTTCTGTTGCGATTGAAGTGGTCACATGGTCCAAGAACTTGGCGCCCTAAGTAGCGTACCACTGAAAGAATTATTAGCGATCATGAGGCAAACCGTGGCTAGTGTCACCCCTCACACTACCACTGTATGGAGGCTGGCTCCATACAGTGGTGGAGGCTGGCTCCATACAGTGGTGGAGGCTGGCTCCATACAGTGGTGGAGGCTGGCTCCATACAGTGGTGGAGGCTGGCTCCATACAGTGGTGGAGGCTGGCTCCATACAGTGGTGGAAGCTGACTCCATACAGTGGTGGAGGCTGACTCCATACACAGTTTCAAGTGTATATATGATAGAGCCCAATAGGCTCAGGAATCTGTACACCTGTTGATTGACGGTTGAGAGGCGGGACCAAAGAGCCAGAGCTCAACCCCCGCAAACACAACTAGGTGAGTACACACCTCAAGGGGACCCACACCTGCTCCACCTCTCAATGATAAGTCTCTCTTCTGTATTCACTATCACTCATTTTCAATTGTGGCGCTGCACGCTACACATTACAGGAGTTTGATCAAATGCTCAAACGTATTGTTTGATTATTAGATTAATTATTTTAGATTATTAGATTATTAGAAGCCGTCGTAGCTCAGCTGTGTCGCATACTAATAGGCTGCAGTGTTAGTGTCAAGAACACTGGCGTTGCTGTTGAGAAGGTCGGAGTTCAAGTCCAGGGAAGGGAATCAGCATTAGAAAAAAAAATCATGTCTAGCCACTTTGACTGGACGGTAGAGCGACGGTCTCGCGTCATGCAGGTCGGCGTTCAATCCCCGACTGTCCCCAAGTGATTGGGCATCATTCCTTTCCCACTGTCCCATCCCAAATCCTTATCCTGACCCCTTCCAAGTGCTATAAAGTCGTAATGGCTTGGCGCTTTCCCCTGATAATCAAAACAAAATTTAGCAAAAACAAGACAATAGAAGTAAGTCTAGCTTCGGGGTTGTAGAGAGGTCACCTGCAGTGACTGAGGTCACCTGTCACCTGCAGTGACTGAGGTCACCTGTCACCTGCAGTGACTGAGGTCACCTGTCACCTGCAGTGACTGAGGTCACCTGTCACCTGCAGTGACTGAGGTCACCTGTCACCTGCAGTGACTGAGGTCAACTGTCACCTGCAGTGACTGAGGTCAACTGTCACCTGCAGTGACTGAGGTCAACTGTCACCTGTATCAAGCAGGTAACGACTACGCACCATAGCATGGGAGAGGAAGAGTACATGACCTTGTACCTCTCCCTGACCCTATCACCACCGTGAACATTTCTACTCCCACTTCCTGCCTTCACGTCCGTGTCAAACATCTCGTACTTACCTTTTTCAAATGTTTGTTCACCCATTTTGTGAAAGTCTTCTTCTGGATGGCGTCCCTTTCGTCTGAGGAAATAAAAAGATGTATTTAGAGAGTGATAAAGTATCATGATAAGAGTGACCTTCACTCCCAACATCCCCATCATCATCATCAATAATAAAACATAAAACATCAACACATCACACCACAACATAATCCAGGGGAGGGCTGGTATACAACAGGGGGAGGGCTGGTATACAACAGGGGGAGGGCTGGTATACAACAGGGGGAGGGCTGGTATACAACAGGGGGAGGGCTGGTATACAACAGGGGAGGGCTGGTATACAACAGGGGAGGGCTGGTATACAACAGGGGGCGGGCTGGTATACAACAGGGGGAGGGCTGGTATACAACAGGCGAGGGCTGGTATGCAACAGGGGGAGGGCTGGTATACAACAGGGGGGGAGGGCTGGTATACAACAGGGGGAGGGCTGGTATACAACAGGGGGAGGGCTGGTATACAACAGGGGGAGGGCTGGTATACAACAGGGGGAGGGCTGGTATACAACAGGGGGAGGGCTGGTATACAACAGGGGGAGGGCTGGTATACAACAGGGGGAGGGCTGGTATACAACAGGGGGAGGGCTGGTATACAACAGGGGGAGGGCTGGTATACAACAGGGGGAGGGCTGGTATACAACAGGGGGAGGGCTGGTATACAACAGGGCTGGTATACAACAGGGGAGGGCTGGTATACAACAGGGGGAGGGCTGGTATACAACAGGGGGAGGGCTGGTATACAACAGGGGAGGGCTGGTATACAACAGGGGGAGGGCTGGTATACAACAGGGGGAGGGCTGGTATACAACAGGGGGAGGGCTGGTATACAACAGGGGGAGGGCTGGTATACAACAGGGGGAGGGCTGGTATACAACAGGGGGAGGGCTGGTATACAACAGGGGAGGGCTGGTATACAACAGGGGAGGGCTACAACAGGGGAGGGGGGGTATACAACAGGGGAGGGCTGGTATACAACAGGGGAGGGCTGGTATACAACAGGGGAGGGCTGGTATACAACAGGGGAGGGCTGGTATACAACAGGGGAGGGCTGGTATACAACAGGGGGAGGGCTGGTATACAACAGGGGGAGGGCTGGTATACAACAGGGGAGGGCTGGTATACAACAGGGGGAGGGCTGGTATACAACAGGGGGGAGGGCTGGTATACAACAGGGGAGGGCTGGTATACAACAGGGGAGGCCTGGTATACAACAGGGGGAGGGCTGGTATACAACAGGGGGAGGGCTGGTATACAACAGGGGAGGGCTGGTATACAACAGGGGAGGGCTGGTATACAACAGGAGGAGGGCTGGTATACAACAGGGGAGGGCTGGTATACAACAGGGGGAGGGCTGGTATACAACAGGGGGAGGGCTGGTATACAACGGGGGGAGGGCTGGTATACAACAGGGGAGGGCTGGTATACAACAGGGGGAGGGCTGGTATACAACAGGGGGAGGGCTTGGTATACAACAGGGGAGGCTGGTATACAACAGGGGAGGGCTGGTATACAACAGGGGGAGGGCTGGTATACAACAGGGGGAGGGCTGGTATACAACAGGGGGAGGGCTGGTATACAACAGGGGGAGGGCTGGTATACAACAGGGGGAGGGCTGGTATACAACAGGGGAGGGCTGGTATACAACAGGGGAGGGCTGGTATACAACAGGGGGAGGGCTGGTATACAACAGGGGAGGGCTGGTATACAACAGGGGAGGGCTGGTATACAACAGGGGAGGGCTGGTATACAACAGGGGGAGGGCTGGTATACAACAGGGGGAGGGCTGGTATACAACAGGGGGAGGGCTGGTATACAACAGGGGAGGGCTGGTATACAACAGGGGGAGGGCTGGTATACAACAGGGGGAGGGCTGGTATACAACAGGGGGAGGGCTGGTATACAACAGGGGAGGGCTGGGTATACAACAGGGGGAGGGCGGGAGGGCTGGTATACAACAGGGGAGGGCTGGTATACAACAGGGGGAGGGCTGGTATACAACAGGGGGAGGGCTGGTATACAACAGGGGGAGGGCTGGTATACAACAGGGGGAGGGCTGGTATAGGGCTGGTATACAACAGGGGGAGGGCTGGTATACAACAGGGGAGGGCTGGTATACAACAGGGGGAGGGCTGGTATACAACAGGGGGAGGGCTGGTATACAACAGGGGGAGGGCTGGTATACAACAGGGGAGGGCTGGTATACAACAGGGGGAGGGCTGGTATACAACAGGGGGAGGGCTGGTATACAACAGGGGGAGGGCTGGTATACAACAGGGGGAGGGCTGGTATACAACAGGGGGAGGGCTGGTATACAACAGGGGGAGGGCTGGTATACAACAGGGGGAGGGCTGGTATACAACAGGGGGAGGGCTGGTATACAACAGGGGGAGGGCTGGTATACAACAGGGGGAGGGCTGGTATACAACAGGGGGAGGGCTGGTATACAACAGGGGGAGGGCTGGTATACAACAGGGGGAGGGCTGGTATACAACAGGGGGAGGGCTGGTATACAACAGGGGAGGGCTGGTATACAACAGGGGGAGGGCTGGTATACAACAGGGGGAGGGCTGGTATACAACAGGGGGAGGGCTGGTATACAACAGGGGGAGGGCTGGTATACAACAGGGGGAGGGCTGGTATACAACAGGGGGAGGGCTGGTATACAACAGGGGGAGGGCTGGTATACAACAGGGGAGGGCTGGTATACAACAGGGGGAGGGCTGGTATACAACAGGGGGAGGGCTGGTATACAACAGGGGGAGGGCTGGTATACAACAGGGGAGGGCTGGTATACAACAGGGGAGGGCTGGTATACAACAGGGGGAGGGCTGGTATACAACAGGGGAGGGCTGGTATACAACAGGGGAGGGGAGGGCTGGTATACAACAGGGGAGGGCTGGTATACAACAGGGGAGGGCTGGTATACAACAGGGGAGGGCTGGTATACAACAGGGGGAGGGCTGGTATACAACAGGGGGAGGGCTGGTATACAACAGGGGAGGGCTGGTATACAACAGGGGAGGGCTGGTATACAACAGGGGGAGGGCTGGTATACAACAGGGGAGGGCTGGTATACAACAGGGGAGGGCTGGTATACAACAGGGGGAGGGCTGGTATACAACAGGGGGAGGGCTGGTATACAACAGGGGAGGGCTGGTATACAACAGGGGAGGGCTGGTATACAACAGGGGGAGGGCTGGTATACAACAGGGGAGGGCTGGTATACAACAGGGGAGGGCTGGTATACAACAGGGGGAGGGCTGGTATACAACGGGGGGAGGGCTGGTATACAACAGGGGAGGGCTGGTATACAACAGGGGGAGGGCTGGTATACAACAGGGGGAGGGCTGGTATACAACAGGGGAGGGCTGGTATACAACAGGGGGAGGGCTGGTATACAACAGGGGGAGGGCTGGTATACAACAGGGGAGGGCTGGTATACAACAGGGGAGGGCTGGTATACAACAGGGGGAGGGCTGGTATACAACAGGGGGAGGGCTGGTATACAACAGGGGAGGGCTGGTATACAACAGGGGAGGGCTGGTATACAACAGGGGGAGGGCTGGTATACAACAGGGGAGGGCTGGTATACAACAGGGGAGGGCTGGTATACAACAGGGGAGGGCTGGTATACAACAGGGGGAGGGCTGGTATACAACAGGGGGAGGGCTGGTATACAACAGGGGGAGGGCTGGTATACAACAGGGGAGGGCTGGTATACAACAGGGGAGGGCTGGTATACAACAGGGGGAGGGCTGGTATACAACAGGGGGAGGGCTGGTATACAACAGGGGAGGGCTGGTATACAACAGGGGGAGGGCTGGTATACAACAGGGGGAGGGCTGGTATACAACAGGGGAGGGCTGGTATACAACAGGGGAGGGCTGGTATACAACAGGGGAGGGCTGGTATACAACAGGGGAGGGCTGGTATACAACAGGGGAGGGCTGGTATACAACAGGGGAGGGCTGGTATACAACAGGGGAGGGCTGGTATACAACAGGGGGAGGGCTGGTATACAACAGGGGAGGGCTGGTATACAACAGGGGGAGGGCTGGTATACAACAGGGGAGGGCTGGTATACAACAGGGGAGGGCTGGTATACAACAGGGGGAGGGCTGGTATACAACAGGGGAGGGCTGGTATACAACAGGGGAGGGCTGGTATACAACAGGGGGAGGGCTGGTATACAACAGGGGAGGGCTGGTATACAACAGGGGAGGGCTGGTATACAACAGGGGAGGGCTGGTATACAACAGGGGAGGGCTGGTATACAACAGGGGAGGGCTGGTATACAACAGGGGAGGGCTGGTATACAACAGGGGAGGGCTGGTATACAACAGGGGAGGGCTGGTATACAACAGGGGAGGGCTGGTATACAACAGGGGAGGGCTGGTATACAACAGGGGAGGGCTGGTATACAACAGGGGAGGGCTGGTATACAACAGGGGAGGGCTGGTATACAACAGGGGAGGGCTGGTATACAACAGGGGAGGGCTGGTATACAACAGGGGAGGGCTGGTATACAACAGGGGGAGGGCTGGTATACAACAGGGGAGGGCTGGTATACAACAGGGGAGGGCTGGTATACAACAGGGGAGGGCTGGTATACAACAGGGGAGGGCTGGTATACAACAGGGGAGGGCTGGTATACAACAGGGGAGGGCTGGTATACAACAGGGGGAGGGCTGGTATACAACAGGGGAGGGCTGGTATACAACAGGGGGGAGGGCTGGTATACAACAGGGGAGGGCTGGTATACAACAGGGGAGGGCTGGTATACAACAGGGGAGGGCTGGTATACAACAGGGGAGGGCTGGTATACAACAGGGGAGGGCTGGTATACAACAGGGGAGGCTGGTATACAACAGGGGAGGGCTGGTATACAACAGGGGAGGCCTGGTATACAACAGGGGAGGGCTGGTATACAACAGGGGAGGCCTGGTATACAACAGGGGAGGGCTGGTATACAACAGGGGAGGGCTGGTATACAACAGGCGGAGGGCTGGTATACAACAGGGGGAGG